ATTACATTTTAAATACTGTAGGCCTGCTGGTCATGTTTTTTGCATGCAATTATAATTAACTGAGAACTTTTAAGCTGCAAAAAATACATAAAAGCACCATAAAATATCTTAATGTATCCCAAAAATAAAACAAAAGAAGGCGGAAAAGAAATAGTTAAAAATTCATCATTTATTTCCTCAAAATAGAGCAAATGAGTCCTATTTTATAATTATTTTATGGTGCTCTTTTTGTCTTTTTTGGAGTCTAACAAGCCACATCTACCTTTGCTGTATCCACTTTTTTTCAACGCAGAAGTAAGCAATTTCATATCGATGTGCAGGACATCTGATCCATTGTCCACTATAGATAAATAACTAGAGGAATAACAGTAAATGTCAAAACAGTATATGTCAAAACTCTTTGCACTACCAATTAGTGTTTATGATTATAATTATAAATTAAAATATTATGCAACACCAGTTTGCAGCATTAAGCAACATACTGTAACAGACTGCTTCGTACAGCTAAAACAAGGCTTTGTTTTTCAATGAGAAAAGAAAGTCATGGGTTTGGACTGACATGAGGATGAATACATTTTAGAATTTGAATCTTTATTCAAACTACCTCTTTAATGTTTTGACCTTAAATTTAACAATATTTTACCATCAAAACTATCCTCATGACAACTTTGCTTCCCTAGAGGTGAAGCGTGAGGAAAACTGCACAGTCCAAAATATATTTGCACCTTCTGAGCAGGACAATGAGCAAACAAAACAGCTGTTTAGCTTTAGGAAAGACTTATCATTTATATTTAAGAGTAAGCTTGTTGTCATACTGATGTGAGTTGATGGCTATAATGAGGAACAGTCATAAATTAACAGACATGCCCTCAACAACACTCAGCATCTCCTGTGAGGGACCACAGTCTAGATCACAACCTTAATTAGCACATGGGGGAAATTTAGGTCAGTTTAAGCACAGGAGTGAGGGTTTAGCCATGAGTTAAGGAGGGTAATTAATTAGTCACATGCAGATGCTAAACAGGCTCATTAGTGAAAGTAACTGTGGGCAAAAGGATGTTTGTGTGTCTGTGCATGTGTTAATAGTTGTAAACATAAAGACGCAGAATAAATGAACACAGTCCATGTTGTGAAATAGCTCATTTCATGGTGTGTGGATGTAACAAATGCAGGTTATGTAGGACAAAAAACTGAATGTAAATTATATATAATCTGTCAGATTATTTCTTTAAATCCATCCTTATGGCCTTATGTTTCAAAATGCTCCTCTCAACTACTGCACAGATTTAGTCTAAAATAAGAAAATACTATCTTTCAACAGGGCGATAAGAGCTGCCAGTTTAAACTGATGGGCTTTTATACTTGTTACGGGCATCTAATACATCTTCATCTCTGGCCAACTCGTAGACGCTATCAAGAGACGGGCCCATTTTAGGCAATTATACCACAGCCTGCACTGATGGGGGTGATGTCATGGGGCACGATGAGAATGATGGGTAACTGTCAGCTGTGTGGTGAAAAATGGGATCCACATTGTGTTGAAATAAATGTCTAAAGCAAGCAGAAACTCCATTTTGAAGTGACAGTTTGTTTTGTAGATGCTAGTATATGTGCAAAAAAAGAGAGAGATAAAGAGAAAAAGAAAGACAGAAGAATGTACAGTAGTACATCCAGGACAGTGCTGCAAATCATGACTTCATGAATCCAAAATGCATGTTCCCAATGTATGAATCAGTTCATGAAATCACTAATGACCTGTGTTAATAAATGTAACTGAAACGTTGTGTATGAAACAAATCGGAAACTGTTTTTAAAACAGTAGGACATTAAACCAGTACAAGCCCATTAAAACAGAAACTACACAATTAAAGGGTTAGTTCACCCAAAAATGAAAATTCTGTCATTAATTACCAGCGTATAATCAGCGTTGTTTACATTCAGCATATGCGCTTTCTCCTGAATGTAAACAACGCTGATGCGTCGTGGTCCTCTCCAAAATGGCGGAAGACGGTAACTCGGGGAGAAGAATTGTTGGATAAATTATGTTATTTTTGTTTACTTTGTGCACTCGTAGCTTCGCAAAATTAAAGCTGAGCCACTGATGTCACATGGACTGTTTTACTGATGTCCTTTATATGTTTCTGGGACTGGGAACATTGCAGTTTGCGTTGCTGTCTATGCAGGGCCAGAGAGCTCTCAGGTTTCAACAAAAATATCTTAATTTGTGTTCCGAAGATGAACGAAGGTCTTACGGGTTTGGAACGACATGAGGGTGGGTGAGTAATTAAAGGAACACTCCACTATTTTTGAAAATAGGCTAATTTTCCAACTCCCCTAGAGTTAAACAGTTGAGTTTTACCGTTTTCGAATCCATTCAGCCGATCTCCGGGTCTGGCGGTAGCATTTTTAGCTTAGCTTAGCATAGATCATTGAATCTGATTAGACCATTAGCATCTCGCTCAAAAATGACCAAAGAGTTTCTATATTTTTCCTATTTAAAACTTGACTATTCTGTAGTTATCTCGTGTACTAAGACCGACGGAAAATGAAAAGTTGAGATTTTGTAGGCCGATATGGCTAGGAACTATACTCTCATTTCGTATCATGGGTGCAGCAGGCGCAATGATATTACTTATTATTGGAAGTTACCTAGCTGGGACTATTTTCAGGCGCTGCGTAATATCATTGCGCCTGCTGCACCCATGGTACGGCAGCAAAGTTCCTTGATTATTATACCGGAATAAGAGTTTTAAAGGCTTTTATTGACAAAAAATTTATAATGAGTCAATATTTACAGTGGTGACCCTTGTTCTTCATAACCTCTGCAATTCGCTCTGGCATGCTAGATATCAGCTTCTGGGCCAAATCCTGACTGATGGCGATCCATTCTTGCCTTATTAGTTCTCAGAGTTGATCACAATTTGTGGGCTTCTGCTTGTCCACTCACCTTTTGAGGACTGACCACAGGTTCTCTATGGGATTTAGATCCGGGGAGTTGCCTGGCCATGGATCCAAAATTTCAATTTAATGATCTTCGAGCCACTTCTTTATCACTCTTGCTTTGTGACATGGTGCTCCATCATGCTGGAAAATGCACGGATCATCACCAAATTGCTCATGGATCGTTGGAAGAAGTCGCTCTTGCAGAACGTTTTGATACCATTCTTTATTCATGGCAGTGTTTTTGGGCAGAATTATGAGAGAGCCTACTCCCTTGGATGAAAAGCAACCCCACACATGGATGGTCGCAGGATGCTTCACTGTTGGCACGTCACAGGACTCATGGCAGTGTTCACGTTTTCTTCTCCAAACAATCGATTTTCCAGATGTCCCAAACAGTCGGA